GCAAAATGCCAGGGGCCATTCCAACTTGGCTGTGGCTCTCAACTTGTGTACCCAGTTTTACCTCTGTAGACCTATTTCAAAATAAGATCCTGTTTCAAAATAAAAACTAAACAGGGCTGGGGATGTGGCTCAGTAGTTGAGTGCCCCTGGGTTCAATGCCCAGTAAAAAATGCTTCCGCAGGTTTCTAGTTATTTATCCACCTAACACAATACCACTGTGTACAATCAAAAACACACCAATCTTCCCCAGAATTTGGCTTTCTACCCCTTTGTTGTTGTTGTTTTAATTAGTTACATATGACAGTAGAATGCATTTTGACATATCATACATAAATGGAGTATAACTTCTCGTTCTTCTGGTTGTACATGGTGTAGACTTATACCAGCCATGTAATCATATACGCATATAGAGTAATAATGTCCAATTCATTCTAACATTCTTTCCCCCATACCCCCCTTCTCCCTTCACTCCCTTCTCTCTAATCCAAAGTACTTTTATTCTTCCCTAGCCCCCTCCTCCTCATTGCAAATTAGCATCCACATATCAGAGAAAACATTCAGCCTTTGGTTCTTTGGGATTGGCTTATTTCACTTACCATGATATCTCCAGCTCCATTCATTTACTGGCAAATGCCATAATTTCATTCTTCTTTAAGGCTGAGTAATATTCCATTGTGTATATATGCCACATTTTCTTTATCCATTCATCTATCGAAGGACATCTAGGTTGATACCATAACTTAGCTATTGTGAACTGAGTTGCTTTAAATATTGATGTGACCGTGTCCCTATAGTATGCGGATTTTAAGTCCTTTGGGTATAAACCAAAACATAGGATAGCTGGGTCAAATGATGGTTCCATTCCAAGTTTTCTGAGGAGTCTCCATGCTGCTTTCCATAGTGGTTGCACCAATTTATAGTCCCACCAGCAATGTATGAGTGTACCTTTTTCCCCACATCCTCACCAACATTTATTGTTGCTTATATTCTTGATAATTAGCATTCTAACTGGAGTGAGATGAAATCTTAGAATAGTTTAGATTTGCATTTCTCTTGCATTGATATTGTATTTCTTCTTTTGTGAAGTGTCTGTTCAGTTCCTTAGCCCATTTATTGATTGGATTAATTGGTTTTTTTGGGGGGGTATTAAGTTTTTTGAGTTTTTTTATATATCCTGGAGATTAATGCTCTATCTGAGGTGCATGTGGTAAAGATTTTCTCCCATTCTATAGGCTCTCTATTCACATTAAAATGTTTCCTTTGCTGAGAAGATTTTTAGTTTGAATCCATCCCATTTATTGATTCTTGATTTTACTGCTTGCAATTTAGGAGTCTTGTTAAGGAAGTCAGTTTCTAAGCTGACATGGTGAAGATTTGGGCCTACTTTTTTTTCTATTAGGCACAGGGTCTCTGCTCTAGTGCTGAGTTTGTGCATGGTAAGAGACAGGAGTTTAATTTCATTTTGTTGCATATGGAATTCCAGTTTTCCCAGCACCATTTGTTGAAGAGGCTATCTTTTCTCTCTCATCATCCCATTCACAAGTCTGCCAGCACTTACAAAACAGTCCAGAATAATTCACACAGTCACCTGAGGCTGATCTCACTAAATGACTTCGATTCTATAAATAAGAAAAATACTGTGGCATCCAGGAGCAGCTCTGATTCTAGTCTATCACAATAGGTTGTTATCCCTCAGGAGATTATACCTATCACCTTGAAGGTGATACGGTGGGTCCAAGTCTATTCCACATGTCCCTCGATTGGGGAAGCCAGGCCATGTTCTTTTTATGGTCCTGGCAGAAGCCAAGAGAACAAGTGCTACCACATATATATGTTTGAAACCTTTGCTCATGCCATATCTGCTGACATTCCAGTGGCCATAGCAAGTCACATGGCCAAAAAAATCTCAGTGGGAGGAAAAGTGTATTCTGTCCACTGGAGAGTGAATGTTTGCTGGACCATAATCTAAACTATTAGGGCTTCCACTGGGCTCAGAAGGCTGGAAGATCACAGTAGTCAAAGCAGATCTCGTTTTCAGTTGTGAGAAACAAGTTGTAAGGAAAGTAACTGAGACATGGAGACCTTAAGTGATGTTCCCTAACTCACATCAAAATCACTAACAAAGATGGACTAAAACTTGGTTTCTAAAGTCCCCCTTCAGGTCACTATTCCATGGCACAAGCAGGATAACTAAGCAACCCTTAACACATTTGACAGTTTTATTATGTATTCCATGATCCAGACCTTTCTCTGATTAGAGAGTCCTGCCCTCTGCCTTCTTTTCCTTTTTTTTTTTACAATCAAGATGGTGTTGTTTTGTTTTGTTTTTTAATTTGATTGTGGGCATGATGACTGGGTAATGTTAAGACACCTGAGTTTTGATCCCAGCTCCATCTACCATGACAGTAGACAAGTTCTTACCTTGCATGAGCCTAGGCGATTTCATTCATAAAATGGTGATAAGCCCCAAGACTTTGTGAAGAGTAAAAGGAGATGTTTGTAAAATGCTTAGAGCATAAAGAGTGTACAACTAAATAGTTCCAAAAAAATTTTCCCTCCACTTCAAAGCTAGTCATGAGCTCTCCCTTCATTGAGCCCTAAGTTACTTATTCAATTCAATTAAGCTCTGAGGATATTTTAGGAACCATAAGTTCAAATTCCGAAATAGTCCAGGCAGATATCATGAAAATGTTAAGGAACCTATGGAGTCTTTCACATTGTTATCTTTTTTTTTTTTAAAGAGAGAATGAGAGAGGAGAGAGAGAGAGAGAGAGAGAGAGAGAGAGAGAGAGAGAGAGAGAATTTTAATATTTATTTTTTAGTTATCGGCAGATACAACATCTTTGTTTTGTATGTGGTGCTGAGGATCGAACCCGGGCCGCACGCATGCCAGGCGAGCGCGCTACCACTTGAGCCACATCCCCAGCCCCTCACATTGTTATCTTAAGCTGCATTTTTCTTACAAATCCATACATATGCATATTAAAGCATGTGGGAATATTCTCTGCACAAAGAAACATATTTTCTCCAGGGATTTTATTAAAAATATTCAATGACTGGCCTTCAGCCGGGGCTCTTCATTTGGATGCTTTATGGCTGAGGTGTTGGAGCAGGGTCCTGCTAGACTGAGGAGAGTGAGGGGAAAATAGACCAAAGTGCCCAGGGCCATGGGGCAGCACATAGGGACTCCAGCAATGGCTATTTATGAACCAATATGGCAATATTTTTTACTCTTATGTGTCAACTAAACATGAGCTTTGGTTTCTCTCATTGTTTTTTAAACATATAGTCATGTTGGCTATCCTTAGTATTCCTATTTTTGTAGAACATGAGTACAAAGAAATCATAGTCTTGTATATGCTCAGGCCCCCATCTGAAGCAGGCAGCCCTCATTCAGCTCCAGCCAAGTGTTGTCTTATGCCAGTTGGAACTTCCAGTTTTTAAGAGAAGCCAGAAATGCAAATTTTTGTATTAAATCTTTAATGTTGGTTCAATGGTTTCTAAATCTCTGCACAGGGCAAACCCTATGGCCTCTGATCTATTGAATGTATACTATATACTCCTCAGACATTGCAAGAATCCAAGCAATGAATTCTTCCCTGAAGGACTTGATCCTCTGGTGGTCAAGTGGACAGTCAAATAATAGGTAATTTTATAGTTGAATGGTGTGCATAATAAACTAATTTGGATAACTAAGTATTTTTTTCTTTCTGTATATCTTATTATACAACCAGAATAAGCTCCTTAAGGGTAAGAATTCTGAGCTCTATTTGTCCTTCGCACCAAGTCCCTTTTTCATAATGTTTTGATTGACTTACTGCCCTAGGAGTCTCTTGCTTAATCCATGTAACTAAAATGAATGTGTAACAACCTACCTGGTGCAGCCATTTTAATTAAGTCATCATCTCTGCATAATCAGTCAGTCCTACAGTAAGTACCTTGCAGACTGGTAGGCAAGAAATAAACCCTTCTGGAATTGAATCAGTTTACTCTGATATGCGGTAGTTAGTTAAAGACAGCCACATGCTAGAGCAGAGCAGAAGAAAATGTAAATATGCAGGCGCTTCCTTGTGAGACCCATCTGGGAAATCAAATTGGGGCGATTGCTATGACTGGCACCTCATTCTCAACCTTTATTTTCAATGCCAAACAGACCTTCTGGTTACTTCCTGGAATCAAGTGAAGTACAAAGGCAGAAACCAAACTTCAGTTTGATTATTGTGCTGAAAAACAAACTCTAGCTATAATGTATTACCTTTGAAAATGCAAGAATACCGAGGAAATGGTCATAATGACAGCAATAAGTAGTATAAGAAAGGACATGGCTACAAAATACAGCCAGATAATCTTAAAACTGGAGATATTTATTTATAATAAAGCACCAAATGACATATTTTCTCAGTTATCATAACAAGATTATTCAATTTTATCCATGGTTCAATAGAATAAATAAATATTTATTCATCACCTCCTTTAATCAAGGTTGGATTTTCACTGATGCTTTTATTTAAAAGTAGTGTATGCTCATTGTAGGAAAGAACTCAAAAGTACATAAAATAATATAGTTTCCTTCCATTTCCCTCCTCCCTTCTCTCAATAATCCTGCTAAGTATAATGACTACTAATAGTTCAGTTTATCTCCTAGGCCTTTTTTCTGCTCAAACATATAGCTGTCCCCCCACCCCCCCAAAAAAAAAAAAAAACATTGGAATCATACTCTATATAGTTCTGCAGCTTAATTTTTTCCTTCCTGTTCAGTCAACTCACAGGTGTATCTACCCATTCTCTTTTAAAACTGCCTATTATTTGATAGTATTAATACACCATATCTGACAACTTCTCAATGGAGAACTATTAATGTTGTCTTCAATTTTCCATGCTTACAAACAATACTGCAGTAAATGCTACCAGTTTAACTTATATATATATATGTGTGTGTGTGTATATATATATATATATATATATATATTTTTTTTTTTTTTTTTTTTTCCTTTTAACAGGACTATGGAAACTGAAGTCATTGCAGAGTTTGGATCTGTCATTCAATGGGATATTGCAGATTGGGCTGTCTGATTTTCATAACTGCCTGCAACTGGAGAACCTTTATTTAAAAAGCAACAAAATATTCAAAATTCACCCAGAAGCTTTCAAGGACCTCAAAAAATTACAGGTTCTAAAATCATTTTTATAATATCTTAGATATTCAGACATATGGGCAATTGCATTGGAAGACTTTCCTTTGAGGAGTATTCTCATATCCTTTTTCACTGGTTATTAATCAAAACATGTAAGTCTATTTTAAAATCCCCTAGAAGAGCTGAAGTCTCTTCATTGCTTCAGAAATCAAAGGCCACATTAATGGACATGAACTTCACCCAAACAATACTCCACAGCAAAAACTGGCACATTATTTTCTAAATCAAATTAAATTGAACTCCAAGCTTCCACTTACCATTTGGCAAGAAATTAAATCTGCTGTTTGTGAGGCTGCCTCCCTAAACTGCAATATGAGTCAAAGCCCTTGGTGTCTTACATGCAAACTGGAATGCTTGGGGAGACCCCTCTGAACCACTCTGGACAATGCTGAGTTGTCAACAATTCAGACTATCTGGGCCACTAAGAGCCTGTGACCCTTTTGCTTCTATGCCAAAATGGTGATGCTAATGCATTTTGTACCACACCCACCACAGGCCTCATACTGTTCTAAACATCAGACACGTACTGGGGGAACCTGTGTCACATTTTGGAGCTGTGCATTAAGTTTCCTGAAGTCCTCACAGCTGTGAGAGTGAGGAACCCCAAGCCCTGTTCTTGGTTTGGCAGCTTCAGCCCCTTTTCCTCCAAGCACTTTCCTCCATGCCCTTGTGCTTTGGAAAGGCATTGTGAAATCTCCCCTCATTGGTCCTTTAGAAATACCAGAAGGGCCTCCAGAGTGGCACACAGAAATAACCTGGGAGAGTCTTCAGTTATAACCTCTATCCCCCACCCCCATTCCTTCCATAGGCCAGTATTATTCACAAAAACAATGTGAGCCACACATACTATTTTAAATGTTCTAGTAGCTACATTTAAAAAGTTAAAATAAGCAAGTGAATTTCATTTTAGTTATATGTATTATTTAACCCAGTATATTATCTTTTACACATGTAATCCATATAAAAATTCTTAGTGAGATATTTTACATTCCCTTTTTTATACCAAGTCTTCATACCTGGTGTGTTTTATATCCCAACATGGACTACCCACATGATAATTTCGTGATAGCTACATGAGGCTCATGGTGGTTTTTATTAGGCAGCACAGACATAGATAACTGACATTTCCCCAGTGTGATGGGAACTGCTATGGAAGCATAGCCATGAAAAAAGTCTCTGGCTCCCAGAATGGCTCCCTAATCCCTCCACCATGGAAAGGAGACTGGGGAAGCAGTGGTCAGGTCGGGGAGAGGCATTCTAGAGCCAGCTGCATGGGGTTCAACCTAGACTCTGCCACTTTCCAGCCACACCATCTTGGTTATCAGATTTCTCATCTATAAAGTGGAGATGACTTGGTTCTTTCTCATAGAGTTTTGTTGAGAATTAAATGTTTTAATGCATACGAAGTTCTTAGAACAGTGCTTAGGATTCGGTAAAACTCTTTTGTTCATGTAGACTACATATAGAAATTTTAAAGTGGCCACAGTACTCTGTTCTGTTAATATACAAATCTGATCATGCCATTCATTGGTTAAAATTCTTCCAAATTTCTCAAGAAGGGTCCTGGCCCTGCCTGCTTCTCTAACCTCATTTGAAGCTACTCTCCCCTTGCATACTGGTCTCCTACCTGTTTTCACCTCAGGCCTTTCCCACTTGCTGATCTTTTACCTGGAAGAGCTAACTCATATTAATTCTTTCAACTTTAGCTTGAATGTCAACTCTTTAAGAAGGGTTCCAGATTAAGTCAGGCCCCCCTTTTTCCCCCACACTTTATAGTATGCTATGTTTAATGCTTATTGCACTTATCCCAACAGAAACCATTTAGTTTTAGTGTGGTTAGTTTATAAAACCCATGCCCCCTCACCCTATTACCAGATGAACACTCTTTAAGTATATACATCATGTCTGTTTTGTTTTCCAGTGCTTAGCTAGGACATTTAAAAATATTTGTTGAATAAATAAATGAATGCATGAATAGATGATGTTCATGGATAATTAGGAAATTATTGCTACATAACAATTTACTACACATTTAGCAGCTTAAAACCACGCACATATTATATCTCACAATTTCTGTGGATCAGGAATTCAGGGATGGCTTAGCTAGGACCTCTACTTGAGGGTATCTCAAGAGGCTGCAATCAAAGTCTTAGCACAGGTTAAGACTCACCTTAAAGAGTCTCACCTGAAAGAGTCTCACCTGAAAACCCAGCTGAAAAAGTATTCATTTCTCAACTCTGATGGTTATTGGCCAGACTCAATTCCTTGTTGGGCTGTTGAGCTGAGAGTTCTGCTCTTTACCAGCTGGTGACGAAAGCCTGCCCTCAGTCTCCTGCCTACGGCTCCAGCTCCTCCACAGAGCACTTTATGGCATGGCAGCTTGCTTCAGAGCAAGTATGATTTACATAATGTAATTATATAACTTAAATAATGTAAGTTCCATTTTATATAATGGAATCACCAAAGTGGCATCCATTGCTTTTGCTGTAGGTTCTTGGCTGGAAACAAAGCATAGGTCCTGCCCACAGCTGAAGGGAGGAGATTGCTCTAGAGCCTAGAAGTTAGGATCACTGGGGACCATCTTACAATCTGTCTGCCATGGAACTTATTAGAGAAGATGAGACGGTCCACTTCATTTGGCAGTGCACGTAGATTGACAAATTGCCTGGGAACCTCATTTAGTGCATTATATATGGATTATATTTGTATGTGTAATTTTCCCTATGTCTGTTTACTTCCTGTGCATTTTTAGTGTACTTTATGAGTCTTCTGCAACTCACAGGTGATAGATGCGAAAGACAAGCTGTAATTCTCAATTCACCAGAACTGCCAAGAATCCTACAATTCCTCCTTCTCTATTACCCTTCCACATGCTTAGCAGTAACTTTAAAAACTGGAACATGATGAACATATTTGGTACCAAAAAAGCTGAATATCACAATGGATGTTGTTTTTCTTCTGGGAGATAAATTTAATACTTGCACTATTCTGTGTGTATTCCCATGTGGGAATCTTTTCAGAAGCTAGATGGATTTTTCAAAGCATAATTTCATCACCATGTTTAAATGCAATAAAATAAGTTCCATTGACATTTCAAATTAGCATTTCTTTTCTTAATCTTATCTCATTCTTCTTAGATGCAGTGATTTGTGAAACACTATTCATATGCTTCTCCAGTCTCTCTGTAATGTACAGCCTTTTCAAATGCTAGTGGATGAGTGTTTCTTTAGGCAAGTGTTACCATTCTGTTTTAATCTTTTCTCAGAAATTTTTTCCTCCTGAATCACTTTATTAATTTCCTTTCTTCCCTTCAGTTTTGCTTTCAGTTCCATGATTTGTAATATAAGATGCCAGGATGAAAACAAAATGCACTACAAAGAAAATAACTATCTGAAAAACATCAGAATATCTCACTCTGCTGTTGAGGAGGGCTACATAAGAAAATAACCATCTGTCTTTTAAAAAATGGGATATCTCAGTCTATTAGATAGTTATTTTATTTCTCAGAGAGTTATTTTCAAAATGCATTTGAAAGGGCTGTAGATTACAGAAAGACTAGGAGATGCATATAATATTGCTTCACAAATCACTGCATCTAAGAAGAATGAGGTAAGAAAGCTACTGATCCTAGGCAAGACAAGGCCAAAGCAAAGTGTTTTCTCCTTCCCAACCCTAGTCTTCTGCTTCCTGTTGTTAGCAACCTTCCTTTGAAAGTCAAGATTGCTCTCAGAAAAAGTTCACCAGGAATTCTGATTCTATACATAGCGTTCTTGTTTGTAGCACTATTTAGTTGTTTGAATTAGCTCTTCTTGGGAATTTATATAATCCAAGAAGTAAATGCTGATTTCCCCCCTGATGTTTATAAAAGCAGTTGGCCTTGATAACATTTGGCCTTTAGAGTTTTTATCCATGGGCCTCTTTTTTTAAAGCAAGGTTTGCATTTTCTGTTTATGATTTTCTCTTCTCCCACCTGTACCTGCCTAAACTTCACATCCCCCCTCTGTGTCTCCTGCTCCAGGCCTCCTCCACCTTGTCCCTCTTTCTTTCTAGTGTGATGAGTCTGGGAGGGTGTGTTCTTCAAAGGCACATAGCTGTGAAGCCAAATCAAATTGCAACTCTGCCACTTCATTTATTCATTCTTTACTGAACAGTTGCAGTGTACCAGGCCCTTGTGCCAAGGTCTGTGTGGAATGTACTGTGTGGTTCAGCCCAGTTTCTTCCTCTGTAAAAAAGGGGGAAAGTGAGGACATTGTCAGAGTATTAGAGATAATGTTTGTGAGGAACCCAGCACAGTGCCAGATATACAGCAGTGCTCTGCAAACAGTAGCTGGAGCTGCATCTGACTGTTTTCCCCTGCTTTATCCTACCCCTGCTAGGTCTGACTGTTCTGGGTCTCTAAACCGTTGAGTCCTTTATTTTTCCCAGTCTCCCCACTGCATTTTTTATTAGACTAGACAAATTGTCATCTTGCAGGTTCTAAATATCCATAGATGCAAAGAACTGCAGTACTATCCTTGAGAAAATGTTTGATGTAAAAGATCTATCTTTGCAACTTCTCGTCAACCAGATTTCTTCTGTGTTCTTGGTCTTCATCATCTGGCATCTTTTGCTACTTTCAAGATCACAGCGTTTCTAGAAATTCTAAGCCTGTATCCATTTCTAGACCTTGACAGCACAAAACTCTAGGTATATTTAACAGTATAAATTATAATTCATAGGAAAGAAGAAAGAGAAAATGTTTGGCCATCTAATGCAGATACCATGCTTAAAGCTTTCACATACATTTATTCTTTACAACACCTCTGGAAAGTAGGTTTGCAAAAAGCAAACAATTTGCTTAGACTTACAGAGTTTTTAGGGGCAAAGCAGACAATTAAACCCAGTACCTTCTGATTTTCAAATGAGTACTAAACTCATAGTGCTTCCATAGAGATGTAAACAATATCATTCTATAACATTTATTTTTATCTCTGGATATCTTTATTCACAACTTTCTTAAATTTGTTTCTTCTCAAGCAGGTTGTAGACCTCAGCAACAATGCTCTGACCACTGTCCTACCAATGATGATCATTGCTCTAGAATTTCCCCATCTGGAGGTTGACTTGACAGATAATCAATGGCAGTGTGATGATAGAGTGACATTCTTCCAAAGTTTCATTTCTGAATCCTGGAGGAGAAAGTGGAATATACTTTGCAATAAGTCTGTAGGTAAGTCAGTCACACTTCTTTTCTCTGAAATGGTTCCATTTTAACTGAAAAGTGCATATAAAAATGTAGTGTCATTTGAAACAGTGACAGTTCCTCTAAAAGCAAGATTGTTGAACCCCAGCAATAGTCAGCCTTGGACTGTGTCACAGCCATTGATGCCTTACTATATCCTCAGTTTATGAATGATTTTCTTCATGTAGTAAAAAAAAAAAAAAAACTAGTTCATATCACTCAGAATCAATTGGTTATAGTAAAAAATAAATTTCAGTAGAAGAAAATTTTACCCTGAAGCCTCAAAACATCAGTTTTACCCTAATTCTCGAAAAAATTGATTAAAGAAATTACTTTTAAATTTTGAAACATGATTTTAAATGCTTGCTGAGACTCTGAAAATGTGATACTATACATACACAAAAAACACACATATTTCAAAAATATATTTCCCTTTGATTTGTTCCTTGCCTCTCCCAAAATTCAGTTGGAATTAAACATTTTGGGAAGTTTTTTTTTTCCCCCATTATTAATTAGCTATCTTGAAGGAGGAAAAAAAAAACTTGAAAACAGTCAGATTTTCTAAAAACTGAACCCTGGGCTCAATTCTGTTCAGGACTGCCAATAAAGTAGAATCAGAGACATACCTACCAGGCTCAGAAGACATTCACAAAGAGCAGAGGGAGGTTAGAATGTTGTCCACCACACTTACGTCATTCCTTTGTACAAACCAGTACTGGCATTCTGAATAGAGAAGACAGAGGCCAGGGACCAGAAGACAAAAATGAATGTATTTTTCTATTTACCAGCACTGAGGAATGGTGAGAAAAGAATACTGCAACCCTGGGAAGGAACAAGACAGATTTTGCTGGAGCTAATAGAATGTTCTGGCAAACATGAGGTAGTTGAGTGTATAGAGGGAGGAGGAGCGATATGGTTGTCCCTCTGGTCTGGCTTCTTCCTCCCATAGGCAGCAGGCAGGAAGCCTAAGAAACATGCAGTCTCCTGGGGCCAGCAGCAGCTCTACTCCTGACAGCCATGTATAACTGTGCACAGAACCATGTGTATACTGTTGGCATTAGACAAGAATGAAGGAAGGAAGGAAGGAATAAATGAATGAAGACTGCTTGTCATCATTTAATATACACTTGAAAATATAGTAAGATAAGGACTGAGGAGAACTCACAGCTTTGATACACCCTGGAACCTTATTTTCATATCCACTCAGTGTGTGGTTTTTGTCTCCCACTTACAGGGAATGAGAAAGCACATTTGGAGATTCCCAAAAGCAGAATTTCCAGGGAGATTCACCTTCCTCCCATTGATCTGAACCACATGAAAAGCCTCATAAGGAACAAAGCAGCGAGGCCCCAGGGAGGAGCGTCTGTGCGCTTTTCCACTCTGAGGAAGGAGGCCCACACCGGCTCTGATCTCAGGGAGATGCAGGGACAGCTGCCAAGAGTGGGCAGAAATGGCGGGGATGTTCAAGCTGCTGGCAGAAAGGAGGACGCTTCCCAGGACCTTGTCCTGGCCATCTGCCTATCTGTGTTCATCACATTCTTTGTGGCTTTCTGCCTGGGGGCTTTTACAAGACCTTATGTTGACAGACTGTGGCAACAAAGATGCTGGCACAAAAGCCCCGGTTCAGATAATGCCTATTCAAATGAGGGCTTCTATGATGAAATCGAAGCTGCAGGGAGCACACAGCATCCAAGGACCGATCTGCACCAAGCTTTGCATGTTCCAAAACTCTGTGAGAACCAGCACTTTTTTTTGGTGACAGAGCCAAGTCCACGTGCCACTGTCATTCCTGACAGAACTCTGGGAAGCAGCAGAAAGGAACCTGGCAGTCTGCAGAGCACAGAACAATGCAGGGCCAACACTGGGGCAGCAAGTAGAAATGATAACATGTTTCCAAACAGCAGTGCAACCCATTTCACTCTGTGCAGACATCCAAACGCTCATAATGATGAACTAATTTCAGCAGCACATGACCACATCTATAGGAATGATATTCTCGGGGAATTAAATTATGAAACTGTGGCCCAGGAATATTCTCCCAGTGAGCATTCAATGGGTGGCTCTGCCATAGCTGGCACATTAAGGACTTTCTCTGGCTCAACCCATAATCATTTGAATGAATTAGACCCGTCACTCCCCAGAGAAGTGACAGCTTCTGAATCCAAAATGCTAACACATGCAAATGCACAGAGGACTGGAGAGAGTAAGGAAATAAGGGTCCCTGAACAGTCACCTTTGGAAACTTCGGGTTTGCAAATAGAATTTTCTAAGGAAATGCAAGTGAGCAATTTCATCAGCTTGCTGAGTGCACAGCAGCCAGGGAGCCAGGGGGCCAAAGCTGAGGAAGAGCATTCAGAAATCTACAGTGCAAGCACTTGTATCGACCCAAGAGATGCAGACCTGTCAGCCCTCATGCCAAGATGGGCTAGTGACCTCAGTGTCACTCCTGCTAATGAGAAGCCAGTGCCCAAAAGTACACCGTTTGACACTCAGTATGACTTGGAGACTGACTACGATTCCGATGAAGGATCTTTGTTCACCCTCAGTTCAGAGGGTTCAGAGGTGATAAGGGACATGACTGAAGAAGAGCAGCACGGTGAGGAGAGCAGTGGGGCCACCAAGCCCCTGCAAGTTGAGAGTCCAGGGATGCACAAGGACAGTGTGATGTTAGTGGAAAGTCTTCAGGACAACATCACCTTCCAAAATATTCTGGGGAAATATGAAACTCGGGAAGATAATTTTGAAAATTCTCCCATTTCTGGATCAGACTCTGGTTTGCACAAGACTTCTTTGGAAAGTGCCTCTAACATCAACATATCTGAGGATCCATTAACCTGGCCCAGATCCCTGGGTAACAGTCCTTCAAGAGCTGAGATTCCGGACATGTCCGCTTATGATTATGACATAGCTCTGCAGGAGACCCCAGAATGGCATTACTCACTTAGAGACCTAGAATTTTCAAACATGGACATTTTACCACAAACACCTCCACATTCTGCTGAAGATCTCTCAGATACTGTTGAGAGAGCCTGCCATGAAAAAGATCTAGACACTTGTAGATATGAGCCTTTCGTTCAAGGAATAGACACAGCTCAAAAAGATTTTGCTCTCAAGATTTCTACAGTAGAAAACTTAAAACTCTCACAACAAGATTCCCAAGGGGGAGACCAGGATTCCAACCAAATGGACACTGATGCAAATAAGGGGCTTTATGTCCATTTGAGGACACAAAATCCAGAAAATTCATAAGCTGAATGTAGGTGTTACAATCCTATGGTGATAAGCTGGCTCTTAAGTGTGAAACGGGAGAATATTTTGGAGATAGTTCCAAGAACTAAGCACTATCATTACAAGAGCTTCCAAATAAACCCAGTTCACTAAGAGCATAAGAGCATTTCAGTGATAGAGACCAGGGTAAATATTCAGAGGAGAATCCATAGAAAAGATGATTACAAGGTCTGTGCTCGGACGCAGACCCAGAGCAACCTGATGAGAGTTGGCTGTGTATGTGAACAGCCCCATTGTGACAAAGACAAGGATGTTCAACCTGGTAATTACAGGGGATTCAAGTGACATTTTAGTCCACAATGAAGCACTTACATGGAAATGTTGAAGAGATTTTTAATGAATTCTCCACAGAGACTAGCACAGCTTTTTGAAGACTGATCATGAAACCATAAGATTGGAAGGGTTTAGAACAATTTAAATATTTTTAATAAGTTACAGAGAGACCATTTTATACAACAAAATGTTAATTAAAATTCAATTTTCAAGAGAAAAAGTAATGTTTTCCGTAAAAGAAACACCATTGTCCTTGATGAGCCTTCTTGGTGTGACTCTCCAGCTTGGTCTCTCATGAGCTGTTCTGTTTATTCTTCAGCTTCTCTGACATTTTCTCAGTTTCCTTCTTGACTCTCCTTCTTTGCTTGCCCCCTTAAAGGCAGTATTCCTCCAGGATTTTTCCCTAGTCTTTCCTTAAGACCCCTTTACCAGTACCAGGGAATGGTGAAGAAACAATACTATAAATCTGAGTTGGGCCAAAACAGGTTTTGCAAGGACTGATGGAAAGTTCTTGCAAATGTGGAACCTACTGCTTCACAATCAGCTTGATATAGATGATGCCAGATCTGCACAACAAGGCCCAGTCTCCCTGTTACGTTCCATACTCACATCCTTAAACCCACTTGCTCAATCCATGTGAATTATCCAGCACCTAAAATTCATCCTTTTCCTTCACAGACAGCACATCCTATATTGTCTTTCTTGATTAACAATAGCATGGCATCCTCCAAGTAAATCCAGTTAGTTACAACTTCTGACTTAGTTCTGACTCATTCTCTTTTATTTCCTACATCTGAGTAGCCTGTAAGCCAAGTACATTGGAAGTTCCTGGATGGCTACAAGATAAGGAGATAGGTATGGCAACCTGGATGGATGCTTGGCAATTTGGCTAAATCAAGGTTTATGAAAAAGATGGAAATTGATAGAGTGTGGGAAAGAACAGAAAGATTAAGAAAGTCCCTTAATCTACCTCATGTTAGAATCCTGTGGGATCCATCTCCTCAATAACTCTTAAACTTGTTCTGTCTACTCTCAGTCTCCAAATAAGGTGCATCTCTTGCCTATCACCTAGATTATTGTGATCTTTAATACTTCTCTGTGCCCCACTCATCTCCTAACAGTCTTATATCCAGTTTACTACTCCCCTGCTCAAAAACCTCTGATGGATGCTGTTATCTTTATAAAAACCAAATTCCATAATATGGACACATCCCACCTTTCCAATTGCCTCACTGTACATTCTATTCTTGTTTATATCATTTACGACAATTATTTATCTCAGCAAACTCCTGAGACCCTTACTGGATTCCTGATTAATTTCTTTCCCACTCATAATTACTATTTTAAAACTTTGACTATCCTTGATGTTTCACTGAGAAAATTTGGAAATCTGGACTGTGAGGAAGAAATTCCTTTCTTTTACCCCATAGCTGTAAACATGTTTATATCCATATTTACCCTCATTATTTTTCTCCAATCTAAGAATAAATCAGTATTCTTTGGTCAAGGATAATCCCTCCAGTCTGCTTTTGCTTCAGTCCTGGGTATAGATCCTTCATTCACATTTCCCATTTCTGCATGCCCAAGCTCTCCATATCTATTGGATGTTTCTTGATGTTTCATGTTCAAGTCCTCTCAACATTAAAATTAAAGAAAAGAACACCTAGTAGCTTCCTCAAAATACTGCCTTCTCTCTGTCATAGCTAAGTTCTTCAAAGGAATGGTCAAAGGACTGTCCATTGACTTTTCGGCATGCTGTGGTCAAGCTTCATCCTCCCTCTAACCTGTGCCATTAAAAGTCAAAAGCAACTTTCAACTGACACATGCAACGGACTCTTCACTCTTCATCAAGTAAAACCTCTGCAGCACTTGACCCTTGGCCACTCCCACCTGGAAACGTTGGGTTAGTCAACTTCCCACTGCTGTGACACAAGAACTGAGACAAATCAACTTAAAGGAGGAAATGTTTATTTTGGCTCATGTTTTCAGAGGTTTCAGTCCAGTTTACTTTGGGGCCTACAAAGAGGTGAAACATCAGAGCAGTGGGAGCATGTGGTGGAGGAGGCTGCTCCCCTCATGGTGGCCAGGAATCAGACGAGAGCTAACTATACTGCAAAGCCCTTTGACAAAACCCACTAACCTACGAAACCATTGTTGAGGTTGGAGCCCTCATGATACAAACACCTCCCGAAATTCCCACCTCTGAACACTGCTGCACTGGGGACCAAGCCTTCCACACATGAGCTTTGGGGGAGAGATTTAGGATCCTGTGCCTTTTGTGATATCGTTCAGTAAAGGTGAGGATCCCAGAAGGACAGAGATTGCAAGAAACAGGGATGACTGAAGACACCTTCATGAAGAACCATTTGCAAAGACCCAGGCAGGGTTAAAGGAAACTAACAAGGGAAGATGAAGGATGTGAGGGCTAGCAAGAGGGGAGAGGCTTTACCAACCTCAGGCCTAAAAGACTGGGGAGTTGCCAGTTTGCCCGACAGTCCAGCAGGAACAAGCCAGGGAACCCGGACCCTCAGCCTCTCCATCTTCCAGTCTCCTCACAGCGCCTCCCAGTGCCTCCCAGTGCCTGACCTCCAGAAGCTAGAGTGGTCAGCCTTCCCAGCCACAGAGCAGGATGGAGAAGGGTAGAAAGTAGGTTTTGGAGAATATCCACCCCACACTGGCTCCTAATTCTGCTCCTCTGATTGTTCTTTCTCAAGCTCCTTTTCCAGCTTCTCTTTCTATGCTCACCTCTTAAATATGCAGGTTTTCTAGGGTTTGGGCCTTGACTATCCTGTCTTCTCACTCACCTCACTTTCCTTGTGAGAGCTATCAATCCTCATGTCTTCAACTACCACTTAATGGCTAATATTTCCTATTTCTGTAACTCCAGCTTTGAAATCTTTCCAGAACTTTACACTCACATCCAATTGTCTATTGGACATCTGCATAGGCACTTCAAGCTAAGCATATCTAAAATGAAACCCAGTATCTCCCCCTAATCCTCTACCCACCAAATCTAATACTTCATGTGTGTGATGTGATTACACATAATTACCTTCACATGGGAGAGCTTATCACAAGTAAAATGATTATTTTATTGGTTATTAGTTTAACATATGCCCATTCTATACAGAAAATACCAACAACAACAAAGATGTCTGTCTGCCCAAGGTCTGGCATTTAGTAGGTCTCAATATATGCATTTATTGAATAGATAAGGAAAGAGCAAACTTGTTAGTACAGGACAAGGACATCCATGGTCTGTTTACCCTCCAGCTTGCCTTTCATTGTATCCTTCCCCATTCCTGGTACCCAAAATTCAAGCCAACTGTACCAACCTGCTCACAGTTACAGACACGCCCGCCTGCATCACTTAACTCTGCCTGGGCCCTCGATGCTGCCTACTTTTTTAGGTTGCACATCTGATGTCACCACAATGAGCTGGCAAGCTTCTTCTCTTCATTCAAGGCTCTATTTAAGTGTCACCTCCTCCGAAGCCTGGCTCACTTCCTTCCAACTCACGTAGAACTAGCTCTCCCTCGCTCCCTTAGGCCTCCACTGCACTGTTCTGCACTGTAGGAGAAATGAGGTTTCACATAGCTTGATAGAGACCTACTGGACTCTTCTGTTGACAAAATTCCAACTATTTAGTGATTTTCAGTCCCATCATGCAGTCTGTGAAGTTAAAGGTCATCTCAGTGCTGGCAGGTATTTCATAAAGTAAAAAAATAAATAAAAATTTTAAAAAATTATATTCCAGAAACAGAAAAAAAAAGTATGCACAGCTTTGAATATTTTTGTTTGCTTTCTTATTTTTGTTCAGACTTCCCAAAAGAGTTCTGGTAGTGTGGCATAAACATCATAAGCTTTTTAGTTAAACAGCTCTATTTCTTAGCAAGCCCCTTGTTTTCTGTAAAAAATAAAACTTTTGGGCTGGGATTGTGGCTCAGCAGTAGAGTGCTCGCCTAGCACGGGTGGGACCCAGGTTCGATCCTCAGCACCACATAAAAATAAAGGCATTTTGTTGTGTCCATCTACACCTAAAAATAAATATTAAAAAAGGAATGTTTTTAAAAATATATTTTTTTGTACCAGGGATTGAACCCAGAGGTGCATTACCATTGACCCACATCCCCAACCCTTTTTTATATTTTGTTAGAGACAAGGTCTTGCTGAGTTGCTTAGGGCCTCACTAAGTTGCTGATGCTGGCCTTGAACTTGCAATCCTCCTGCCTCAGCCTCCCAAGTCACTGGGATTACAGTCATGCGCCACCCCCTCCCATAAAAATAATTTCTAAACTTCTCAGCTTAGCTTGATATAAGATTTGAGGCCTGCCCTGTATCAGATTTCCAAAATTGCTAGGGATCTGCCACCAAATAGCCTCAAACTTTAAGCTGCTCAAGTTATACTGAGTCCCTATTCCCCAGTTTTGCCTTTGTTTTAGTTTCACTTATTCTAATTATGTTTCTAGTTCTAGTCTTACTTCAATGGCTTTAAATCACATCTTACTGTTTATTTCAATAACCTTCTTTGCATTTCTTTGGCAGAGTAACTCTTAAATTTTCATCAGCCTAACAATTCCTTATCATGATATTGTAACCTAAAAAACATTTTTTAAATCTCTGATATAAGTTATCTTCATGTGTTTCTAAAGCCATTAAATAAATATTGGATCAATACTTACCTAACCCAAAGCATGAAATTTTAATCCTCTCCTTGAAGAGTAGCAGGTCCTATAAATGATTTGTCATTATTTAATGCTGCATCCTAGAAATCCTTCAGCTTCAATAAGGTCATGTTGGGATCAGAAGGACAGAACTTTCCTCCCCGTCCAAGGTGTGAGGCTGGTCTTTTGTCTCTCCTGAAGAAAGTTTTGTCCAGTTCTTTTCCAGGACCATGCAGGGCAAAAGGGAGAATCAAGAGAGTAACCAGGAGTACACAGGAATAATTCTTAGAACTACCAGCAGAAGAAAATAAATGCAGTCAAGCGGATGTCCACTTGCTTACAATCTATTTGAAATATGAAAGCCACTCTCTCAAGGCTGCAACTTTTGTTTGAAGTACTTTGAGATCCAAGGGAAATGGAGGTAGGAGGGATGGAAGCAGTTATTCCTATGTGTGCCAAGTTTTGATGGAGGTCTGTAGTGCTTTATACTAGATTAATCAGCCATCAAGAAAACATGAGTGACAAGCTGCAGGCTTACCACAGGAGGTCTGGTCAGCCTGCCCACTGATTCAAGGGGAGAGAGGCCCATCTTTTTGCTGCCTGAATACATCATATCTTTTGCACTTGAAGGCAAGACTGTCTAGCTCTCTGAATCTAGTTTCTGCACAAACGTATCCAGTTCACTTTTTTCAAACTCCCACCTTAATATTTCATTAAACTCTAGGAGACATGGGCAAAGGATGTGTGACTAAATTCTCAGACTCTCTCCATAATTTGGTATATAATGAATGTACCTCTGAAACTACAGAGAAGGTAAGGACATTCCAAACCTCGGCATGAAATTTTTTCAGTCTTTGGTTGACATATATTTCATCTGCCTGTGTGTGTGTGTGTGTGTGTGAGCGCGTGCGCGCATGTACTCCTGAAGCAATTCATAGAATTATGCAGGAATAACATCTTTGCTCATTTGAATATATACAACACTCACTTGCTATTTGAAAAGAAAATTCTCATTACTTTTCTTTGGCTATCATTACCGATTCTGGCTTTTCACAACTGAACATAATTTCAAGTAGCCATAATTTTTAATTTTATTTCTTGATGGCCAAATTATCACAGCTGGACCAATGGGATCCCCTCTCAGCTGGCTTCTGTGTGTTAATCCAGAATTTCTAAATTACCATTGCTTTTTGACAATAAATGTTCCAAGACGGTCTATAATATTATCCCATGATTGGAAATGAGATTATATCCAAGGACCCTGCTTTCTTTTAGTGGAAAATAAATTGTTCAGGTTTTTGTTTATTTGTTTGTTTGCTATGATGTGAAATTTGTATTAATAATGGTAAAAAGCCTCACACTTCATACACCTCATTCTACAAATCCCACACCAAAAGCCAAGGAGCTTGTGGGGCAAATAAAGCTGGGGAGACTACAGAGAAGGTAAGTAATCTCATAACCAGAGTACTAAGGAAAAGTCACTGGTATCTTTGAAATCACCTTGATTGACACAGGCAGGCAGGTAGGCATGGCTAGAGGCTGTAATAGTAGAGATTAAAAATTCACATAAACCAACCAGGCACACTGGCACACACCTGTAATCCTAGCTACTCAGGAAGCTGAGACAGGAGGCTCCCAAGTTCAAAGCCAAACTGGACAGCTTATTGAGACCCTATCTCAAAAAAAAAAAAAAAAAGAAAGAAAGAAAAATGGACTAGGGATGTAGCTCAGTGGAAGAGCACTTGCCTAGCATGCACAAGGCCCTGGGTTCGATCCCCAGTACCCAAAAGAAAAACAATCCTATAAACCACTCAGTGGAAATGCTGGCCCCAGTACAGTTAGGGCAGCTAACTATAGTTAGGCCAGCTGTGGGGTGCTGGGAAAGTGCATACAGAAGGTGATCTAAGCAGAGACTCCCTAGGCACAGGCCCCAAATGTAGTCTAGGCTGGAACCCAACGTTATGGGGCTGCCCAGGAAGCCTGTGCAGGTATTCATTTTAATTTTCACCTATCATATCCCAATATCCCATGTATAGGCCACCTATAAAAACTTCATATTCAACTTCATGTTCAAGTTTTTATGGGTGTCCTGTACAGGGGACATCAGGACATAATGAGTTCAAACACAACTCAAGGAATCTTGCTCCCCAGACAGCAGCCGAGTTATGGAATTTTTCCCTTCCTGCTGAAGAGTATTAGTCTGCTACAGCTCTTCTGGCTCCCCTTGCCTAGGAGAAATCTGCCATGTTCCAACTTGACTTCTAAGTTAGACTGACTTCATTTTATAATGGGTAAGACCTGATGGATGTTATAAACGTGCTTTATGAAATCATCAATTTCTTCCCTCCCTGTGCATGTGAGATACACGAAGAAGTAGAAGTTGTTCTTCTACCTTGAACCTGAGCTTATCTGTGCCTGCTTTACCCAATACAGAACAGTGGAAGTGATACCACAGGACTTCTGAGTTTTTCATAAGAAGCTTTGTAGCCTCTGCCTGGGTTGCTCACTCTGGATGAAGCCAGCCACCTTGTAAAAAGTCCAGTTACCCTAAGACCACCATAATATAAGGAAGCCCAAGTTGGCCATGTGAAAAAGCCACATGGAAAGAGAGATGCCCAACTGCCTCCTAGTGGTTCCAGACACCCTTCCCTGATACCAGACATTCGAATAAAGATGATTTCAGTCCCAGCCCTGCAATCCCATAAACCCTGAAGCAAGAATACTTTGACCAAACCCATCAACCTCCAGAGATGTGAAAAAATAATAACAAATTATCTTAAGCTCCTAAGTTTAAGAAAGACTTGTTTACACATAGTCAACCCAAAAATAAAGGTATGTACTATACTAGGTATGTACTCTATAAAAATTAGGCATGGGGTCGCATAAGATTCTTTGTCTTGAGAGTCATGCTGTAGTAGTTGCTGCTGAGCTACTTTAGGGGTGCAACTGGAAAAGATCTCTTGCATTCATGAATGCATGTTAGTGCTTATTAAGTTTAGTTTTATATTTGCTCTATGACATACACACTAAAATTTTAATTCCTATTCCAAACTTTAGTTTTAATTCCCTTTCCTTCATAATTTGCCAAGTTATAGAACCATTTATAATTTAAGGACAGTACCTTTAATAAAGGGTGTTGAGGAAACTGGATATTCAAAAGTAGAAGAATGAAATTGGATTCTTATCTCACCCGTATACAAAAATCAACTCAAAATTCATGAAAGAATTCAATGTAAGACCCGAAACAATAAAGCATCTAAAGAAAACATAGGAGAAAAACTCCATGACATAGGTCTGGGCAATGATTTTTTTTGGATTTTTTTTTTTTTTTGCCCAAAAGCACAGGCAAGGAAAACAAAATAGACAGATGGGATTGCATCTAACTGCTGCGCAGGAAAGAAAACAACTAACAGTGAAAAGAGAACCCAAGGATTGGGAGAAAATATTGCAAACTATAATCTGATAAGGGGCTAATCTGCAAAATATATAAGGATCTCAACTCAGTAGCATGACATAACCCAATTCGAAAAGACAAAGGACCTAAAGATATTTCTTAAAATAAGAGAGATTAATGGCCAGCTATAAATGAAAAAAAAAATGTTCACTATCTCTAATCATCAGGGAATTACAAATTAAAACCACAATGAGCTACCACATTTAAAAACATCCTATTACTGGTTGCTTCTCAAATTTCTTTGTTTTTTGATTTACCAGGGTTGATATCTAAACAATGCTTCCTGTTGTGTTTTGGATTGGCTACTGTTTCAAATACCAGAAATCAGAATTATCTTTTCTAAAGTATTGGTAGGACCAGAAATAGATTTTAGTAGAAAAAAGAAAAAACACAATTTGCTTTAAGGAGATTTACATTTATATTAATTAACAAACACCACTCAGTATCTTTTTTGGGGGGGGCCGGGGTGAGGGAGTACCAGAGATTGAACTCAGGGGCACTCAACAACTGAGCTACATCTCCAGCCCTATTTTGAATTTTTTATTTAGAGACATTATTTATTTTGAGTTGCTTAGCGCCTCACTAATGCTGAGGCTGGCTTTGAACTTGTGATCCTCCTGCCTCAGCCTCCCGAGCCACTGGGATTATAGGTGCATGCAACCACACCAGGCCTGTCCACTTAACATCTATTACTGCCTCTTACCATAGTTGTATTTTGTGACTTTTGAAACTTTTCCAAAATCTATTCCATGATGACTTACATACAAACAAACAAAAAAGAATTTACATTTCATGTGGATAAAAAGGAGGCTTTTGTCATAGAACAATTTATTAACAAGAGAGTTCTGATAGCTTTACAATGAATAGCTGGAAAACAGACAAAAAGGTTGTCAACAGAGGCAGGACTATCACACTTATTCTTACCTGAGGCATGTCTCCACCCTGTTATTTAATAATTATACACTTAATTACAGCATCTTCTTTTCTCAATAAAGACATATCATTTACATAGCCCCATTAAACAAATGTACATTCAGGTGCAAGAGATTTTTGTCTTATGATTTCTTCTGATTAAAATATATTCCTTTCTTGGTGCTGGGATTGTGGCTTAGTGGTAGAGTGCTCTCCTAGCATGCATGAGGCACTGGGTTCGATCCTCAGCACCACATAAATGTAAAATAAAGATATGTGTCCTAAAGCTAAATATATATATATATATCCCTTTCTTAAAGAGACTTATATTTTTTTGTTTGGTTTTTCATTTTGCTCAAAGATACTTCCACTACTTCCAGTTCTCTGGGGCATGTACTCTGTTTGACTTCCTTGTCATGCAACATTGCCATGTCTTGTCATTTCTGCCTGTGAACTACCTTCCCTGTTAGCTCCATGGCCCTCCACACATGCCCTTGACCATGTAAGTCTACAGGGGGCTGGCTGTTTCCAGGCCACCTCTGCTCAAGCACTATGAGATTTGGTTATTCTAGATTAATGTTTTACAGGAGCTTTACAGATTGGACAAGGCATATTGGAGGGAATGAGGTCAACAAGGATGGTCACATGGCTATGATTTGGGCATCAGTTCATGAAGGTATGCATCAAAGCAGTGTCAGAGGGAGAGGCCTGGGAATGAAAAACCCACTTGAGAGACATTGTAGGGTAGAATCCCCCGTGTTGACTACTAACCTGGTCCAGTCATGTGGTGGCTGCTGAGTAGATACATGTCAACTAGGTGGATAAAGAAATGAAAGGATTGAGGGAGGGAGCAAGGGAGGGACAGGGAGATGGAACAAAGAAAATCCTGATACAGTGAGGTATAATAGGTCTTTTAAAATCTGGGTTGATAATCTACATTAATCCTAGATTAATCTTTACTCTATCGCCACATCTTTCTATGCCAATGGAAAGAAGCTAAAGAAGCAAGAGAGATTGTTCTGCAGAGGGACCCATATTCTGGATTTGCTGATTGCTCCCTGGTGTCATTCATTACCTTTGTTACTTGGCATCTTTGTTGTTCTGTCCCAGGGACTGTGTTTCCCCATTACTTTCCTCTGAATGTCCTGCTCACCCGTCCAGGCTGGCCAGCTGCTTCTCATGTTTTTATAAAGACCCTCCTGATTGTTCCAGAATCAAACTTCCTCATCCTTCTCTCTGTGTTCCCCAAGCACATTTCTTGCACTTCTATTTAGCCTTTATTTCATTCTGTCTTGCACTTGGTCCTTTTTCTGACTGAGCTGCGTCTCAGTAGATGTCTCTGAATAATCTCCTTAGGGAGCCAGCCTCTTCCCTAAAACTGCTATTCTAAGACTTCCACTTGATTTTTTTTAGTTATCAGCCTGTTCCCCAAACTTAACAAAACAAAAACCTGATTAATTAAATTTCATTGCTAAATCACAGCCTAAATTTAGGCCTCAATGTTATGTTTGAAACTTGAGAGTAGAATTTACTTTGGGCCGTATATTTTTATGGGATTGGTGGGCTTTGGGGTTGCCAGGGCAGTCCAGGTCCCAAATGCTGGCCTATCTCAATGTGGGTCAGGACTACACTAGAGACCCCATAAATAGAGAGGGCCCTCTGACTTTCTCTCCAGGGTAGCCAGAGGGAACAAGATGTGCACCAGACCCTGCTGTTACCACTTGGAGACCCCAAGCTAACAGAACAATTCCTTCCCCTGCCCTTCTCTGAAAATACTCAGTGCTCTACCCAGAAGGGCTGGAAATGGCACTGAAACTCACAGGGGATTCTACCTATACTTTGTGGGGCTGCACCAAGATTTACTCCTTTAGAGAAAAAGAACCTACTTCCGATTCTGTCCCTGGCTAGAAAGCTGTCCTTAGGCTAATGCACCCTGTGT